ATATTGAGGGGGCCAAATAGATATGTAGTTATCTTTTCCACATTATAGGGGTTAGGGGTGGGATACGTCAGCCATCTGAAAAATCTGCATAAAAATGTTTTGACCCTCCCTTTGTACCAGAGAGGAAGCCTGAATTATTATGGTATTAAAAGATAAAATATGTTGATAGTATACAATACTATACATATATTTTATGCATTTCTGAGTTTCTAAACTTTTCTGTGTCATTTGCTGGACTTCATGTGTCTGCGGCTTCTGTAAAACTCCCCCAAAATTCCTATTCAATTCCTTGTGCTGACCCATGATATATCAAAAGTACAATGGGGAAAGTTGCAATGTGAAAGGGATAACTATAATTCTAGTCTGATACGCTTCTCAATTAGAGGAAAACAGTATGGCCAGTCTTGAGGCCTCTTCTCCTATTTTCTTGCAGGCAGGTATCAAAACCTCACTTGGAGAGAGGGAGGCAAGATTCCAGAGATTCATGCCTCCCCACAAGCCACATTTAGAGGGCTTATTTGAAGGGTAGGGATGTATTAGTGAGTAGTGATACAGCTAGAAGGAGAAGGAGGAGGAGGAGGAAGAAAAGGAAGAGGAAAAGGAGAAAAAGAAGAAGAAATCAACCAAACATTAAAATATTTGGAATTATACAAATAAAGTGACTAAATTTTCCAAAACCTTTGACCCAGAGGTTCTGCTGCTAGGCATATATCCCAAGGAGATTAAACAAAAAAGATTCCATAGGCATCAAAATTATAGCAGCACTTTTTGTGGTAGCAAAGAATTGAAAACAAAATAGATGCTCATCCATTGGGAAATGGCTAAACAAATTGTGGCATACAAATGTGATGGGATATGATTGTGTTGTCAGAAATGATGAACTTGATGAATTCAGAAAAGCATGGGAACACTTTCATGAACTGATACAAGGTGAAATAAGCAGAGGCAGGAAAACTATACTATTGTAACAATGTAAATGGAAAGAAAACCAACCACAAAACAATTGAAATAGAATATTTTGAAATGATAAAAAACAAGCTTAGCTCCAAAGAAGAGATATGAGAAAATATTTTCCCCCCACATACACAGACAGAGGTGGAAGTTAATGAGTAGGCAAACATTAGGTATAACATCATATTTTTATTAGTTAATTTGTTTTGCTGATTGTTTTTCTTCTCTCTTATTTAAAAAAATTCTTTGTTATAAGAAATAACTTTCTGAGGAGTGGAGGGCTAATGGGGGAAATACAGGTAATATAAAAACAAAACATATTTAATTTAAAAAATTAAACATTAAAAAGCTAGAAGTAACAAGTTCAGGAAGGTATACAAACTGGGCAATTTTTGTTATCTATTAAATTTAACATATACTTTAAAAAAAAGTACATATAACAAATGTTCCTGGCTTCATATACAGTCTTTTCTTCTTTTGGTAATTCTTTTATACTAAAATGTTCATGTTTGTTGATGATTGTTAAGTGCATAATTTAAGAAAATAGAAGAGAATCTCCTTCCGCCATGGAAATCAGCCACTGTCTGTAGTTGATGCAGTAGTCTTAGAGAGTTGTCATTTACTGGGTAAGTGACGCCCAGGGGCACATAGCCAGGATGTGACAGTGGCAGGCCTTTTGTCCCCATCAATTCTTCCTGACTCCGAAGCCAGTTTTGTATCCTCTTTACCAGGCTGCCTCTCTGTGCAACTATCATTTGAAATGATTAAGAATAAGATTGGAGGGGCAGCTAGATGGTTCAGTGGATAGAGCACTAGCCCTGAAGTTGGGAAGACCTGAGTTCAAATCCAGCCTCAGACACTTACTAGCTGTGTGACCCTGGGCAAGTCACTTAAACCTGATTGCCTCCAAAAAAATAATAGTTATGAGATTTGAGAGGAAACTGAGGCTCAGAATAGAAAAGAGAGGCTCAAGGGGGTCATGCTACAATAGAAAGGGCCCTGGATTTGGAGTGAAAGTTTCTAGTTATAAATCCTGTCTCTGCAGCTTGCTACCTGTGTGACTTTAGACAAGTGTCTGTACATCTCTGTACCTCTGTTTCTTCATCTGGATAATGAGGAGGTTGGACAAGATGATCTCTGAGGTATATACATTTTACAGTTCTAAAACTAAGATCTGCCTTATACATGGGGCTGGGAGGCATAGAAAGGATGCCTTTCTATTCATAGCAGAGAACTGGCTATTGTAGAAATTTAAATTATTTCTATTATGGAAAACACAGGTCACACAGCTAGTAAGCAGCAGAGCCAAGACTTGAAATCAGGTACTTTCTGTCTGTCTGTAAGTTATTGAACTTTCCACTTGCTGCTCAGTCATTTCAGTCATATCCAACTCATTGTGACCCCATTTGGCGTTTTCTTGGCAAAGATACTAGAGTGGTTTGTCATTTCCTTCTCCAGCTCATTTTATAGATGAGGAAACTGAGGCAAACAAGGTTAAGCAATTTGTCTTGGGTCACCCAACTAGTAAGTATCTGAAGGCCAGATTTGAACCCAGGAAGATGAGTCTTCCTGACTTTAGGCCTGCCGCTCTTATCTACTTTGCCATTAATTGCCCCATCTTTCCACTAGACTCATGTAAAGGAAGGTAGATGTGGCCATCCATGTCATGGGCAGAAGGAAAAAACATTGCTCAAAATAACTGAGACACCACCATGAAGTATGGGAGGAAAGTGTAGGGAGGAAGTACAAGGCAATTAATTTCAGTGGATTGAATAGAAGGGGGAATGTTAGACAGATAAAGCCACCATTTTGGACAACCACTGGGATAGAAGCTGTGAAAGTCATTGTTAGGGTTGTTGTGAGGAAATCACTTTGTAAACCTCAAAGCCTATTGAAATGGGAGCTGCTGCTATTCAAGGATGATTTATTCAGTGTCTACTGTGATAAGCTGCATGGCTGATTGGAGGAAAGAAGACCCTGGATCACATGTCACTCCTGACAACTGACTGGATAATTGGAGGCTAAGTAATTTAACTTCGAAGTGAAATTATTTCTTTATGGAAGCTATCAAGGAGTAGTTTGCTTTCTAGTAGTTAGTTTTCCATAAGGGCACCTAGGTGGCACAGTGGATAGAGTGCCAGGCCTGGAGTCAGGAAGACCCGAGTTCAAATCCAGCCTTGGCTTGTGTGACTTTGGGCAAGTCACTTAACCCTGTTTGCCTCAATTTGCTCATCTGTAAAATGAGCTGGAGAAGGAAATGGCAAACCACTCCAGTATCTTTATCAAGAAAAACCCAAATGAAGTTGTTGGACACCAATGAACAACAACAACAACAATAGTTTCCCAGAATGATGAAATCACCTGGAAACTACAATTTTTTTTAAATGCTCAGGGCCTTAGTAGAGGCAGGGAGGAATAGAAGGAATGGCTTTCTATTCTCAACAAAATCTTCATTCTGCTACTTATACTTCCCAGTGATGTGAGGAAAATGCTTTACAAATTTCAAAGTGAATTTTTGAATTTTGAATTTTACAAAATTTTTGAATTTACAAAATTCAAAGATTATATATAGATTATAAACATATAAAATATATTTATGGATTATATATAGATTATAAATGTATGGGATATATAATATATATTATAAATATATAAATTATTTTCATCACCAGTGCCTTGGTACAGTAGTTAGAGAGCTGACCTCAAAGCCAAGACCTGGGTTCAAGTCTTGTCTCAGACACATACTGGCAATGTAACCCAGGGCAAGTCTCTCAACCCTTCAGTGCTTTGGGGATGGCATATTGAACTGGAAAGCAGATGGCCAGGGTGACCCTTGCTCCACAATTCAGTACTGTGCTAGGCTCTGGGGAAGATATGAACTTCATTTGAGACTCAGTTCCTGTCCCCAAGGAATTTATAATCTAGTAGGAAAATGAGTCAAATGCAGATGGTAGTAACACACAACAATATAGGGTAAGGATATGAGAAAGGTAGATATAAAGTACAATTGTGATATGAGACCTGAGGGGAAAGTAGGCTTTGCTGGGGGCGGTGGGGAAGGGACTCAAGGAAGGTTTCGTGGCGAATAAGTCCAGTTGCATGTGTCATTAAGTTCAAATTTCACAAAATCTCAGTGTTCGAGCTCTCAGAGGCTGTGGAGTACCACCCTCTCATTTCATATATGAGAAAGCCAAGGCCCATGGAGGTCAGGTGACTTATCCAAAGATACGCAGGGAGAAAGGATCAAAGGTATAATTTGAACCCAAGTCCTCTGGATCTAGACCCCATCCTTATTCTCACTGTATCATGAATTGAGTCCTATATTCTTTTGTTGTTGTTGTTCAGTTGTTTCACTTGTGTCTGACTCTTCGTGGCCTCATTTGGCAAAGATGCTGGAGTGGTTTGCCATTTCCTTCTCCAGCTCATTTTTCACAGCTGAGGAAACTGAGGTAAACAGGGTTAAGTGACTTGCCCAAGGACACAGCTAATAAGTGTCCAGGGTTGGATTTGAACTCAGGTCTTCCTGACTCCTGAAAACCCCAAATGGGGTCATGAAGAGTTAGACATAACTGAAAAATGACCCAACAATAACAACAACAATTTTCTGGCTCCGGGCCTGGTACTCTATCCACGGTGACACCTAGCTGCCTGTATCCTTAATTGAGTCTAAATATGATTGTCTGAAACAGCCATTCCTGGTCACGTCCTCTGGGGCCACAGAACAAATCTAATTCTTCTATGTGAGACAGCCTTCTGATCCTTGAAGACCGATGACCTCCCTAAGTCTCTTCTTGTCCAAACTAAACATCCCTACTTCCTTTGATAAATCCTCACATGCTGTGTTTACGAGGCTTTTCAACATCTTGGTCATCTTCCAGTTTGTCATAGTCCTCCATAAAACATGGCACCCAGAAGTAACCATGAGAAATGGCACTTGTTTTGGTTTTACTTGATAATTCCATAAAACCTCCCCTAAGACAGGGCCGATATCTTCTATGTCACTTGTGTCTTCCAATAGTGCCTAGGGAGGTATCTACCAGGGTACGTACCAGACTCTAGCGGGAGCCAGTCGAAGGGTTTGGGAACTGCCCTTGGAGGTGGAAGAGACAGAAGAGACAGAGCAGGGTGTCATCTGAGATCTTCCTTCCAGCTTTGGACTCAATTCATTTTAGTGTTCATTTAGTATTCATATTAGGATCTTTAAGGCAGGGGTTCTTAACCTGGGGTATGGGAACTTTTAAAAATATAGGTTTTATAGCTATTTCAATATAATTGGTTGCCTTTGGAATCCTATGCATTTTATTTTATACATTTAAAAACATTTTGAGAAAGTTGGTTGTAAGCCTCACCAGATTTCACCAGACCAAAAGGATCCATGACACAAACAAAGTTAAGAACACTTGGTTTAAGGTTCCCAAGGGCTCTCCTTTGATCCTCACCACAACCCTAAGTGGTAGGGATCAAATATTATGATTAATATTTAAGTGCTATGATATAATTAATTATTAATAATTATGATCCTCTTTTGCGGGAGAGGCGGGGCCTGTTATTTCATCAGTGTATAAAGCTCCAGGTGGGGAGCTCCCTCTACCAATTCAGGTTGTCATCTTCTCTGTCACTTAGAGTTTCAGGGTGACTCACTCAAGATCACACAGACAGAATATGTCAGGGGCAGTACTGGAACTCTGGTCTTCCTGACTGATGCCAGTTCTCTCTCCACTACAACAGGCTGCCTGTCCCTGTTTTAGAGACGAGAACAATAATGCTCAGGAAAGGTAAATGCGTTGTCCAGAGTCAGATCTAGAGGGTGGAAAAGCCAGCACTTAGACCTAGATTTTTTGACTGAAAATCCAGTTGTTGTTTTTCCACTACAGCAGGCTATCTTACTCAGAGGAAGATCCCTTAAGCAGAAAAATCAGTTCTGCCACTGAATCCCCAGAGTCAAGTTTCCCCCTAGAGGAACTGCTGGGACAGCAGGCAAAACGGAAGGCTCAGGATTTCTTCTTTCCCCTGCTTTCGATCAGCTTACCCCCAGAACAGCCTTTCTCAACTGCAAATCCAGATTCAGCCACCAGGGGGGGGCAAACGAGCACCGCCTCCCCCGGCCCCTCCCCTTCCCAAAGAACACACCTGGTGGCCAAGATGGGCGGAGGCCTCACCTGGCTCCTAGGTACATCCTGAAGCAGCCCAGGTAACCCCTTTATGCCCAGGCTGGGCTGAGAAATTTCCAGATGAGGTGGGGCTAAATTAATCAGGAAGGAGTTGAGGGCGGCAGAGAAGGGAAGGGAGAGAGAGAGGTGAGGACAGGCTTTAGAGGCGAGGAGAGGAAGTGTTCTGAGTAGTCTGGTCAAATTGTTTAAGAGGGTAGGCAGCAATAGGGGGATTTCCTGACCATGCCTCCTCAGGAACAGAGAAGGGAGCCAGAGCCCTTAGTAGGTTTGAGTATATATGAGGAGCACGGGGAGGCTAAGGTCTCAGTGGTTGGAGCTGTTGGGTGGGGGGGTGAGATGCTAAATAATGAGCAGCAAAACCTAGGCTTCCTGACTCTGAAGACAATCTTTGCAATAACTAGTGGTATATTGCAGGGGAGGTGCTCAGAGAAGGAGAGGGATGATCGACATTGAGGACTGAGGGTGCGAAGGCAGTGTGGTCAGAGTTGGTGAGTGGTGGACACTGCCTCATTACTCTCCACAGATGCTCTGTGTAAGGGAGCATATCTCAGGAATTCCAGCCAGAATACTGCCCCGCCCCCCACCATGGCATCAGAGTTCCAGGCAATAAGGTGTTAAAAAGAGTGGAGTGGAGGGAGGTGGTCTGGGAGTTGGGATGCCTCTAGTCTCTTTTCACCAGAACTGCTTGGGAATCCACCAGGCTAGTATGGAATGAGTTAAGTCTGCCTGCAATCTGTAAGACTGATGCCGATGGGGAGGGGGGGGGTTGGGGGTGGAGAGGGAAAGGGAAGCCAGAGCCTCCTGGATTGCTGGGAGACAGTTTCAGGGCCCCCTTCCCTAAAGGGCTGGCTGCCCCTTCCTCCCAGTCCCCACAGGGGCCCTGCCCTCCCTTAAGGTCCCCTCTCTCTCCCTCCCAGAAGCTCAGGCTCCCCCTGGCTTTGTGTCCCCAGGAGGGTGGGCTGCAGGATTTCCAGCCCAGCCCTGGCTGCCTGTTCAGTTTTTCCAAACCCTCCAGTTGGGGAAGGCAGAAGCCCTGTCAGGATAAGAGTCCCTTCCCCCCTACTCAGCAACCCCCCCACCTCCTGCTTCCTGCCCCCAACGCCTCCCCCCTACTTCATTCCCATCCCTCTCCTGTAGCGCTTCCCCCCTACCATTCCTGCTCTAATTGGAGGGGGTCAGCTAGGCTGGCAGAATTCTGGAGAAGGGTTAGTAAACCTTGATTCAGTAGACAGCTCCTAGTTCAATACCTGGCATGGTGCCTAACCTCTCTTTCCAGCCTGGC